ATACATTTTAACGTTTTTAGAAGGTCTCTTTCTAGAAGGCTATAATATATAACTAAATTATTGTTGTATGTAAATAAGGTTTTTAAATGTTTAAGACGCTTCATTTAAAATTAAATTAAAATGCAAAGCCCCCTGGACTGATGGCCAGGACCCAGGCAGTGTGAGCGCCACTGAAAATCAGCTCGCGTGCCGCCTTCGGCACGTGTGCCATAGGTTGCCTACCCCTGCTCTAGAGCCACACTCGGGCTACCAGATTATCAGCAGTGTGAAGCTGGGAGCTACTCAGCTGGGAGCATTCAGCAGAGAAGCCTGCATTCTGGGGACAAAAAGTCAGTCACCGGGATGTGCCAAGCACGACAGAGGAAGCCAGGGGGAAGGAAAGGGAAGCACCAAGGAGAGCAACAATCTCTGAAATCTACTAGCTGAGTCTGCCGAGAGGGGTAGTGTGTGTCCTGGTGAATTTTAAGTTCACAAATTAGAGATCATTGTAATCTTCTATATAACACAGGCTGTAGAATTTCACCTAGTAATTCCTGTCAGTTATTTTCTCTGCTTTCTCCTTTCACATAGAACTATTACCCCAAACTCCACAGCCTACTCACCCACAGGCCTGTGCTACCAGGCCCAAGATCTCCCGATTTATTGAAATAATTGTCCCTGGCAGAACTTTCATGTGGAAGAAAACTCTTCAGTTAGTCTTTGGCAAAACCAAAAGGAAAGGGAAGGAGTGGAGGGAATAAGGAGGGATCTGGAAGAGAAATGAGAAACTGCTGCCTTCAAGGTGCAAAAGAAGAAAATCAGTTGAGAAGGTGAAGCAAAAAACGCTAGGTACAGAGAAAAGAAAAAGGACAAGAAACAGGTAAGATGCAGTAACTGGTGCAATACCTATGGCATGCCCAGGTACAGATCACAAATATGGGTCTCTATCTTAGAAAGGTTAGGAACTAGATAATTTAGATCAGGCTCTCACTGGATACTCAGGTATATATATATTTAACTTTTGTGCTCTTTTAGTAAGAAAGTGGGGTCTCTAGTGTCTATTTTCACTAGTCTCGTCAGTGACCTTCTAGAGCAGAGGTGGACAAACTACAGCGTGGGCCACATCCGGCCCATGGGACCCTCCTGCCCGGCCCCTGAGCTCCTGGCCCAGGAGGTTCACCCCTGACCCCTCCCCTGCAATTCCCCCTCCCCGCCGCTGACGCAATGCTCTGGGCAGCAGGGCTGTGAGCTCCTGGGCAGCTCCTGGTCTCTGTGCTGCGCGGCGGTGGTGTGGCCCAGCTCCAGCGCTGCCAGCCACCCGTGCTCCAGGCAGCGCGGTAAGGGGGCAGGGAGCGGGGGGGGGGGGGGTGTTGGATAGAGGGCAGGGGAGCTCAGGGTGGTGGTGTGGATAGGAGTCAGGGCAGGAGAACAGGGGTGTTGAATGGGGGCAGGAGTCCCAGGGGGGCATCAGGAAGGAGGGGGGAGTCGGATGGGACAGCAGGGAGCAGTCAGGGGACAGGGAGAAGAGGTGGTTGGATGGGGCAGGAGTCCCGGGGGGGGGGCAAATCAGGAATGAGAGATGGGGTTGGATGGGGCGGTGGGGGTTCTGGGGGGTGGTCAGGGGACAGGGAGCCGGGGTCTGTGGATGGGGCAGGGGTCCCGGGGGGGGGAATAGGAGGGGGCCCCCTCCCCTAACCAGCCCTCCATACAATTTCCGAAACCCAATGCGGCCCTCAGGCCAAAAAGTTTACCCACCTCTGTTCTAGAGTGTTACTTTTGTCAAGATTGCAGTCTACTTGCCTACCCTCATCTCCTTGCGGATGGACCACTGGTTTGTTGAAATGTGATAAACCCGGAACTTTTCACTTCCCCCTCCTAATCTCTCTCACTACTTCTGACAATTGCACTCTTCTCCCCAGCTCTCAAACTTGAAATCATGGAATTAGCTTGGACTACTCCCACTCAGGAGATTGC